AACTTTAAACTAACTCAACCTTGCTCAAATATTTGAATCAGTATATGACGCGCGACAAGTGACAATTTTTATTAGATCTATGTAACACATTTAAAGTTTCAAATGCGGTTTTTATCATCTGAAGAAATTAAAGTTTTGAAAATAATATAAAACGTTACCTCAACCCGTCTAGTAGTTATTGAACAGTGAATACATGTTAACCAGCTTTCAATTAATTCCTAAAGCATCAGATTTTGAAATCTTCATGAGATCTGACATGCAAACTTGCAAGGAAGTTAGGTTAATACGCAGATAAATGGCATGACACTGTGATACACTCTGTTATGATATTCCTAGCTTTTGCATTGACTTATACAAGTTTTGGACGAAACTCTAGCTTCCAGAAGGTTGAAGATATGCCTTTTTGAAACCAATGATAACTTGAACAATTCAGATCCTTTTTGCTCTGCAAATATATGATACCAGTAAAATATCTTGACTTACTTATCACACTTGTATATTATTGATCTAGTGACTTGATTTTTCACCAATGAGTCACAGATTAAAACTTTACTTCATCAAGCAGTCTTAATGAAATATACTAATTAAAAACTTGAATTATGAGAATACGATTATCGATTTGCAAATGACTTACCAAGTGCATAGTCCAAGTTGACATTTTTCACAGCTGAGTAGTTTTTCAACTGCCCAATTGTGGTGTTAACAAGGTTTCCACTGGAAACCACTCACTCAAGATCACAAGGTGTAGTCTCCGACACGAAAATATCATGAACTAAATAAAGATACCACTAGAGATCGACTTGAATGGTTAGAAACCATTAAAGCTGATCCATAGATCTTGTCTGTCAATCAGATCAGACTGATCTAAACACTGGACCTGCGTTTCGTCCGTTTTGAGGTAGTACTCATCAGCGGTGCACCCGGACAAGTCAGCTCACAGAACCAAGTTAGTTAAAACCACCTGAATTCAGTTAGTTAACTTGCATGGACCGGTGTACCCAAAATGGGGTCACCAATTCGTAAATAATTTACGAATTTCACGGTCCATGTTGACACTTCTCACAGTTGACAAGCCTTTATCATGATACACTGCTGTTTAGCTCGGCCCTAAATGAACAAAACCGCCATCCAGTCTTTCAGTCCTTCTGATCTAACTGTCCAGCTGAATCTACTCATCAGCTTGATTGCTTTCTAGCGATTAGAATTGCTCAGTAGAATATTTCGGTAGTTCATGATATTTTCTGTCAGAAATCATACCTTATGCTGTCGTACAGGGTTGTTTCCAATGGAAAACTTATTGACACCAAGGATTACTAGTTGAGAAACTATTCAGCTATGAGGGATGTCAACATAGACCGTGGAATTTGCAAATCATTTGAAAATTGATCATCCAGTTTTTTTCTTTTTGTTATCAAGTAATATCACAAAATATGATGCATAAATGAGTACACAAAATTACTTATCTGAATTGACTCTAAAGTTGTTTAAAAATATTTTAAATAACTTTGAGTATCTTATGTCATTTCCATTTCATAATTTCACTTTAATATGGCACAATTTTTCAAAAAAATACACAATAAAGACTAAAAGTAAGTTAATAAGTGCTTTTTCGCCTAAGTCATCAGATAAATGGTATCAAGTTGAATGTAGTCAATATAAATATTGGATCGTGATAAAATTCTATAGACGAGTATTACATAGTTGAACTGGCAAGTGCATATACAGATAGATAGGCAAACATGCAAATAACTACAACAGGATCCAGTCAGAGTATCCTCGTGGATATGCATAAACACTCGCATAGACACATACACACACACACACACGTACTCACGTACACTTAAGTACACCAGTAGTAGACATTGGGCCAGACATTTAGATTATATAGAAAAAGCAACAAAATATTTATATATCTGAGAAAATAACTTTTCTAATATTTTTCGGCATTTTTGTTATTATTTTAACGTTTCTTCTTTTCTAAAAATACTAACAAGAGAAATATTTTATTAGAGCAAAAAAATAAAATACGTGAAAACAAAGCAAAAACCAGGTGAAAAAAATATTTAAGTTTCAAGAATAAACCTTTTCTTCTGAAGAATTTAACTTCGCATTTACATACTTAACAGAGATCAATTTTTAATGAAAGTTTTTTGAATAAGTATTTGAATGAAATAGTTTGTTTAACTGAAGGAAAAATCTATAGTGAAAAGAATTTGTAGAAAGATTCAACCTTCCATTTGACCATTTCTTTTTTGATTCATTTAGCTTTGAGAGCAAATTTGGAAGGGAAAACAAGATGAGAATGTTGTGTTCATCTCGGTGACACACAGTGGAATCCAGCATTCGCATTTTGTCCCATTTGGGCTTCGTTATGTGAATGTATCCGCACCTCAGAGTGATATCATTCCCACCGAGACTCGAGCCAAGTACTCATAGCTGCAAGTGACAAAGCTCTACCTACTAAGCCACTAGCAAACGAAAGGGGTATCATTCATTGTTGTTTGAAATTTATGATTTACCGTTGTTATTTAGGGTTGAATTGCTTGACCTCTGTTAGGTACATCCAGCTGATGAGTCCTAAATAATACAAGAGGCATGTCTAGGGTTCTGATGAAAATCATCCAGATTAACAAATCATAAACATCCGGTAGTATAGACGCATCCGCGTAGGATTCCATCTGCCAACAGAGGTCGAGCAATTCAACCCTGTATAACAACGGGAAATTACAATTATTAAACAACAATAAAAGATGGAAATGTTCTGTAAAATATGCTGTCTTGAATGATTTTTGTAGTACAGTTAACATCCATGTAACAACTATCAATTTTAATCGCTTTTTCGATTCAACTAGAAGATTCAGGAAATCGTTGTTAACGTCAAAGACGGGTTTATATATTGTCTATAAGCAGTAGAATTGTTAAGCTCCAAAAGAAATCTCTCGGAGTTCGAAAATGTTATATATACTAACAATAACCGTTGCAATGGAAAGTTATCATGCGCATTTGATTGAAGAGGGAAGAAGTCTCATTTACCTTTCTACTAAGTAATATCGACACTATGTGTCTATAAGCGAGGATTTCGTGATAGAAGAGAAAAGGATCCTTAAAGTTATCAATCGATATTTCACTAAAAAACAGAGTAATTTAGCGAACTGGAGGTAGAAGTTCAGTTTGTCACTGCTTGAAAATGATCTACAATACATAATAATGTCAGTTAAGTAAGTATATAAAATCGAAAATGAACTGCCTATATTATCTAGGCGAACTGGACAATACCTAGTCATGATCTTCACTATCAGTACAGTCAAGCTCATTTACTGGTATCTGAACCTTTTAATTTCAGGGGTTTTCTCCAGTTGACTTGAAATGCAGTGAGATTTATTTCGACTTTGTTTTTCTGTGTTATTCATTCTATTAGAATGAAGGAATTGATATTTTCAAGGTGGTATCTATCTCAGACTGACATCAGTTGAAGAAAGTGGGAGCACTGAACAGCTGTTTCATTGAAATGCAGAACTCTAGTCCTCCATAGACTCACTGGATCTTCAAATGCAGTCAGTTTGCGATGAATACAACCTTGATATAAATAAAATCCCCAGAAACCTCGAAAGTGAAGTCCACATTTTATCGACGTACAAGAATCATTCTATGGTTAAACCAGTTTTGTTACTGATCTCAATTCGAAGTTATCTGTTTGGAGGTGGGCGACAGAGGACTCCAGTAGTAATGCAACTGATTCATCTGAGACTTGGTTTCAGCATTCATTGCTACAAACATCAGAAACGTTGAGTTATTAATACACAAATAGTTCTTGAACATCTAGCAAATCGTAATAGTTGTGGTTGCTAATTGTCTAACTGTTTAGCAGTACATAAATAAAATTCTTCTGAATGACTTATCAACACCATCTATCAAATAAATTAGCATAGGAATATTATACTTCTTGTTTTATTTTCTACAACTTAGTAGATGGAATTGCTAAGATTTCTAGGGTATTTTTGTACCAGCTTTAAACGTCACCATGAAGGATTTTTGGAAATAATTTGGCGCTGTTTTCAAGTAGTCAAAAAGGCATAATGCTATGATCGATAGGTGCTTATAGGACAGAGAAATCTAATATCTATTGTTCTAAAATGGCTTTAACTGGCCAACTTGGATCTTCAACAACACTGGGTCGATCTGTTAGACTAAGAGTCGACTGTTTTGAGCCGTAATCATATGTATTACTGTTCCAGTATAAAAAAAGTGAATGACTGCATATAGTGGTTCATTTTCTGTGTATGAATTTCAATTGGTTTCAGTCTTAAGGTAGAATTCATCATCATCAATAAGCGTGACAGCAAGCACTGTAAAATGGTACATACTTTCTCGTTTCATTTAGATTATTCGCTACATTGAAATTTAGCCTTTTTCACTACTCAAGCATTGATAGGTACGTTGGTTATAGCCTGGTGAATACGTTTTATTCGTAACTCACTTCCGTACAGAGAACTTTAGGATCCGAACAGCCTATGATATAGACATCGGATTTAGAATTTGGTTGCATATTTCCGAATTCCTGTTGAACATCACTTTTTCAAAGATTGTCAATGCACCTTGTGTGAGATACAGACAATGCAGTGTTCCCGATTGCTTGGTCAAACGCATTGGGAAAGATTTTTAAGGAATAACTAGTGACCGGTTAAACAATGAACTGCTTCTCTATCGGGTTCCACTAATATTTTAGCGGAGAATCAGGTGATATAACTATTCTGGTTTTCGACCTAATGTGTGAAATTGTGGTCAGCGATTTCCGTTGGATTAAGATGATTGTAGATTTAATCAAGAAATGACGGCAGTTGATTGACTAAAGAAAGCTAAACAACATCTAAGAATTGTTTGTCCGTTGATTTGGGCTCAAGGTAAATGCTAATGACTGCCATACTAACGATCGCTCAATTTTTAGTTTATTTTCCTGATCCTTCGAATATATCATTGTATCTCCTTTCCTTCTCTTATAGGTTTACATCAGTACATCGGACGTCCAAATGCATGCTAATTACCATCGAAAAGATGCTGTAATTATTCAAGAAGGTTTTCAAAGATTTCGTGCAACAGAAAATTGTGGCATTCCAAGGTGTCTGTTTTACACAGAACACACAACACACTTTCATTGTCGACGTTCCAACTGTCATTTCACATTTAAAAATAAAGCTGATATGGGTAAGTGTAAATGACATTATTTAAAAGTAGTCTTCTTTACTGATTAACATCATTTGGAGAAATGTTGAAAACCTTGGTGTAGTGGATCACTGTTTCATCTTGGTTTAAGACTCATCAGCGGTGCACATCTATTATTATAATCATTAGTTATTGTTGTTTTGGTAACTCCTAGTATTTTGAACAGCCACTGACAATTATGATACATTATTTAGGACCACTTCAATGCAAACACGTATTTAAAACTCCCCATTTAAGTCGGCGTAGAAGTCTAGTACATCTAAACGTTGTACGACCGTGATGTTTAACTATTCTGCTTTCATTCCCTAAATACTCCAGCGAAATCTTCTGATGATGATAAGATTTGTAGGATCAAATCAGTTTCTGCTACTAACTTTCAACAACATGCAATCCATATGATTGTTATTTCGTGAATCAGTGCAAATGTTACTGAAAACGTTTGCAAAACGTAATTATACTACCTAAAAATAATGAGTAGTATGAGTCATTGCAATTTATTAAAGAAAGTGCATGCATCGAAACAGACATTCAAATCGTGGTGATTTATTACTGTTTTATGAGGTGGTTTTAATATTTTAAAAAAATATGAAGTCTTCACTACCTTTTCTATAAAATAATCATCACTTTTTATCTTTACTTAATTTAGAGAAGCATAAATTACATCATCAGAAAAATGATAGATTTGCTCAAGATGGATTTCGGAGATATATAAAATGCGAAAATTGCGATTTTCCAGAATGCCAGTACTCCGGTGTTATTAATCACATTCACTGTATCCGACCAGGTAAGTTAATCTGCTTTGGCATTGTAGCTGAAAACCTAAATGAATTCATAAGTAGATAATAGACCTATTTAATGCTGAATAAAAATGCCCTATGTAAGCTTCAAACATCTATCAGTCTGCAACTCATCACCGTCGTATAGATTTATTCACTAAACCGTGACTCACACTTTTCGCTTGTCGACTTGTTTTGCTATTGAGTCGCTCAGGAAGAAACAGGTGAAATGCCTTCTGAAAATGTATGAGAAAGTTTTCTGCCTGGAGATTTATGCTAGTGAGTCTCGTCTCCGATAAATATATTTCTACCACTTTTATTCTGAAAGTCAGACGGTGAAAATCACTGGAACAAATCACTGTCGAAATAAGTCTTTGGTCATCAGTCTTGATATGGACATCATACTAAGTGATGATACCAAGGTACATGATATCCTGAATCTGAACTAATCGATACAAGAGGACTCATCCCGGTTGATTGTGACTAGAATGAGGAGCAAAAGTAGATCAAACGTAAATTGACCAACACTGGTTGCAGTGACCACCAGTAGCTATATGTGTCGAAAGCCACAGATATGAAAAAGACATCGGCATCAGGTAATACTAAGCAATTACTTAGGCTTGTCAAGGTTTCTGGCAAGAAGAAGACTTTAGTTAGTGAGAAAATAACCGAAAAGGATGCAGCCCTCATAACATTTCAGGACACTAGACAAATGCCTTGAAGCACAGTTCATTCCGACCCGCAGCAATAATTCAGCTGCCAAGTAACCAGCCTAAACATAAATGGGATGTAGATGTTGGTCCTCCATCTCTCCCTGAAGCTGAGTAAGCTGTTACCTACCTTAAGGTTTTAAGGACGAAGATAGAAAATTACTGAGTGTAGTAACGGAAGTACTTGATGCTATAGAAAGTGAGATAAGTCTTCTGGTGACAACATCGTGTCCAAAATCTTAGGGTTTATACTTATTCGACACCTAACTGGAGATCAAGGAGGGAATACGCAAAAAGCCAGGCAGATCTCAGAAATGGACAGAATTACTTCAATAAGGTCTTCATCATTCGACATGTTTTGGAACATTGGTACATGTAACGGTGACCAGTATTTATCTAAAGGTGGCTCTCGAATCTATCAAACGTGACGTGTCGTGGAAGTGTTCAACTGTGAAAGCAATACTAGGTAAATATTGTTAAGCTAATCATAGCTGTTTACTAGAAGTCATACAACTGTATCAGGGCTTATAGGAAGTTATTGTCTACAGTGACAACCACTGATGCTGTCCGTGTCTAGCGGATAACTCTTTGGCATTTAAATCGATTAGTATGGGGATCCAGTTGAAGTGGAAGCACCATCATTCACTGGGGTGGAGATACATCCAACTGAAGAGTCCCAATAAGCAGATCAATAATAGTGTAAGAAGTAGGCATGGTGTTTACTAAGCCAATGAGTATGATGGGACAGATACATCTCTGCCATACAGGTTATAAAGTTATTTATCCATATCGTGTCATTTTCTGAGCACGGTTCTCAGATAACAGACGTTTTGGTGTCATGATGTACACGATTTTCAGTACAGGATCACGACAAGGCTACGTGGTGTTTTAGTTAAATTTACAGCTGATGGTGCTTTATCATTTCAGCTGAGCTGAAAGCAAAATCTATATTAATGGAATGAGTCTGTTTATTTACACAACCTAGATTCTTAATACGTCAAAACGAATTTGAATGTAATTATCTGATTTTCTAAATTAAGAAAAACGAAACTTAGATGGTCAGATTATCTCACTTGAGCTCAGAAATATAAGTCATGAAATCTCTGCCAAGGTAGTATTATCTTTTCCCCTTGAAAATAAAATTGCACGCATTTAGCGTGATGCAAAAGTGTTTGGCAATGATGATAAAAACTTCAATGACAAAGTTTCTTGTATTTACTATTTAGATTAACTCCTTATCATCAAAGCAATTGTTTATTTTTATCTCTTTCAACAGGATGCGATTATGTAGTTCATTCGTCCAGCCAAATAATGTCGCATAAACGGAAACATGATAGAAGGTTTGCATCCTTTTCTCCTAGACACATGGGTGTCGTGTGCCGCGATGATATTAGTCAAACACTTTCATCTTCAAATCAAGGTAATGACAATGATGATGAAGATATTGCAAATACTGGAGGTGCAGGAATTGACGGGATATGTACACTGTTTCTACTACTACTGATGTACTAAAAGCCAAACAAAATTTGCTAAGTTCTGGAAAATACATAAAGGATCTTGGCGAAAATGAAATCTCACTACTTCAAAATAATAATTTGGATTTTGGATTTTTTTCAAATAAAAACACTTATCCATATGAAGTGGATTTTAATATGATAGAACCAATGTCCATTACGAATTTACTAACTGAAGTTTCGAAACTTGCTAGTTTGTGCATTTGCCGACGTCAGCATTGGGGAGAATTGTCATATGATTGTGATAACAACACCAATGAAAAGTGTATAAATAAAGATCAAGAAAATTCACCACTGTGTGCAAAAATTGACAAAATCCTTCAATCGATATACAAATCATATAATCACCATTCAAGTCAATGTCTTTGGCCTGATTGTCCATCAAAAACTAATGAAATTGACTTGAAACAAACTCAAGAATCACCTAGAACTTGGTGTAAATATTGGTTATCTCATTTATGGGAAGCATGTCTTTCATTTTTCGCTTATATAGAATGTGACCAGTCCAACTGCTCAATGCGATCAAGAGGTAGCCATACTCATTGCCGTTTTTGGCCGAAATGTGATTTCATCAATCCATCAGGGAGCTCAAATTTTCAAGTCTTGTATGAACATCTATTTTTACACAATGAATGTTTTGCTCCAAAGTTAATAAGTTCATCCATTTCCAACCAATCAACATGTAGACGAAATGAATCTAGTGACAATTTAGTTTACGATGCATCTTATAATATTGCAAATTCAAGACGTAGAGGTCGACCACCAAAATATACAAAGTATGTTCATGTTCCACATATAAATCCACCTGAGAATCTTCATAAAGATGACAACTACCACTCAGACTTATGCTATTCAATGTTTTTCGACCAATCAGAAAGCAGGTTTGAGTGTCAAAACCAGACAGTTAATGAAAATCACAGTATCTCGGTTGTTGATAACCTGCATAATAAACATGAATCTAACCAATTTAAAAACATACGATTAGGCGTTAAATTATTTTTATGTGGTGAAATATGTCCAGACAGTAAATGCCCATATTTTTCAACACATGAAGAACATTATCACTGTACTAAGCCAAGATGTTATATGGCTACTAATAGTTTAGATTTAATGAATACACATCGACGTGAATTTCATCAGTATACAGTTATTGAACAAGGATTTGAATACTTTGATACAAGCATTGATTGTCGTCGACCTTTATGTCATAATAACAAAGTACATAAACATTTTCATTGTGTCTATCCTAGTTGTGATTATACATTTGTTCGTGCAAGTACAATGCAACAGCATACTAAAAAGCATACAGTGAATTTAAAGTCTAGTCAAGATATAACTACAAAAAGTCATTATACAGCAAGTTTAGAAAATAAATCTGCAAAAATTTCAACATCTACATTGATGTCTAATAGTCAATTGGATGGAAACTTACCTTTATCTAAAGTTTCTAATTCCGAAACAAATAGTCAAGATAGTAATAAATCCATAGACTTACTAACAACTCCAATTAATGTCACTGAAGTAAATCCTGTTCTATCCCTTCTTCCACTTGGCATACACCCACGACAACTTCCCGTTCTTTTACCCAATACACAAAATCAAAATCTATCACTTCCTTCAATCGCTATGGATAATAATCTTACAAGAATAAAATGTGTAGAGAATTCATTATTACCAGGTTTTCTTCCTATATGGGCTGCTGCAATGGTGACAGCTGCTACCATGACAACAGGTTTAGGTAATTCAATGCCAAGGATAAACTATGAGCCTAGAATAATGGGAGAATGCATTTCCGATATAAACTGCTTTAGTCTGCCTTTAAATCAACCGATAAAAATGTATATGCATCCTGATGTCATTTACCTGTCACTACAGGACAAAATGGTGTACAAGTATAAACTTCAACACTACAACAACAAAACTAAGGTAAGAATGGAAAATAGAGAGAAGCATTTATTACCGCTTTCTCATATTAAGGCATAATGATGAAGTTTAAAGGATTAATGCAAAAATACCACTGATTCATCCTCTGAAGATTCCAACAAATTACACTTTGTGCCTATCAAGGTATTTATGTAATACTAAAACTCATTTACACCTAGTGACCGTATTAAATACCACAGATTTTGACTAATGCCTTAAAACCTGAAGAGTATTTGTCATCTAACTTCAACCAATAAGCGAACCAGATATTCACAAGCGAAAGATAATTGTATACATTGACTGCAGGTAGAAATAGAGGGAAGGGAATATTTGTAAGTCAGGTGGATGATCTTGGTTGGGTTTCTTTTTGGGCTGGATGATTGAATCACCAAACTTCCTTTGTCTTACTAGACAACATCTCCAGGATCAGTTTCACTATGAAGTAAGCTATCAGGATTTACCTCTAAGTGATTCAATAGCATGTCCTGAAGCACTGCATTGTGTTTGTCAATTTCCTTTATTTATTGTATCACTGACTGCATAGCTTTTCTTCTTGGATGTTTCTTTGTCTGACTTCCGATCTTGTAGCTGTTTATCACTTTTCTAATTGATTGATAGATTGGGTTCATGTCTATACACTTAATGATTGCTGACTGACCTAAATATCAAGCTTCTAGGAATTTTCTGGTATGCTTTGTGCTTCCTCTATCCAAGACCAGTATATTTTCAAGGCTTATTTACTGTCCATATTTATTCATATTCATAGATGTGAGCAACAAAATGTAGTGACTTCTAAAAGACGACTGATGTTCATATAAATGAAGGTGAAGAGGGTGATCTCTTTGTTCAATGTAGCGTTGATCGCAATTATTATAGTTGATTTTGCAAATGATATTATATTTTTCTTCTTTGGTTGTTGCGTTCTTTGGTCTCCATAATAAACTTTAAAAGAAATTTGTTGACTTATTAGCCAGGTGATGAGAACTTTGAATTTATTTGATTAATAGTGGAAATAGGAGATCCCTTCCATGCAGCACTGCTGACAAGTAAACAGTTTATCTGCGAGTGGAAGGCATCAACGATGGAATCTAATTTAAACTGAACCATTATTATATCATTATTATTACAATAATAAACGTTAATGTTATAATGATCCATTATTATTACCACTGTCTGGAATAAAATGAAGTTCAGTGATGAGTGGATTCAAATATAAATCAAAGCTTTTTGAGTTTTTCACGGGTTTTAGTCTTAAAATAGCATCCGTCACGCAATGACACTAGCTAAAGAACCAGTGAGAACCTGGGGACGCTAAAAAACTGTTTTCTTCAAGCATAAAACTTAGCAGCTTGTCGGTTAACGCATTCCCAGCAAGACCTGTAAGTCCTGGCTCGATTCCTGATTAGAAGTCATGTGGGCATACTTCTGAGGTATCACTGAATGGGCGGGAATAGTTGCCCAGTGCTCCTGCCTGTTTAAGGTTTTTTCAGCTGATATCAGTCCATAGTGAATACTAACATAAATCAAATTGTTATTCTACTATTCAATTAAAAAATAGATTGAAAACTTCTATATGTACTAGTTTCTATGCATATTTCAAGTGTTAATGACAAGAACAGTTTCTAGACTGTATATTCATGCAGATTCTGTTACTCATCTTGTTTGCCCAATATAGCAATACTGATCCTAATACTTAAGATTTCGAAAAAAATCAGGGAGTACTTACTAGATAACTTATATGCCTTCTTTTGAAACAAAAATACATTTCCAAAGACTCACCTAGGGTCAACCCTGAGACTCGTTGGCTTTGAGGTGTTTTTACATGTGCTTTCAGTTATTTAGGTCAAATCATTAGTTGAAATCTTGAATTTTAGTTTAGTGGAATTGTAATGAAGTCTTTTCCTTGACACCATGCACACTTATTAATTCACACCAACTTTGAACACCGCTGTTTGAAGGACTTATTAAAGACAGTTGAAAGATGGAATTTTCACCAACAGTCTTTTTTCTGAAAGACCAGGTTATGTGAGTATAGAAGTCGTCCCACTACTTTAAGTTATTGTGTGTGTGCAGAACAAGTGTTCTATTATTGCCAGCTTTTCTTATAGTCTTTTACACTACTGAAAAACGTATTAGTAGTGTGAATCAGAATTCGAAGTTAAGCCCAGCTGCTTGTTATCTTCATAGAAAAAGGGCCTCACAAATTACGCAAATCTTTCATCTAATGCAAACAAAACGGTCTTAGTTTGATTGTATGGAAAAGATTGGTTACGAAACCACTTACTTCAGTAAGGATAGTGAGTGACTTCAACAGGACTGTTGCTAAACAAGAAGTTAGCTGCAAACCAAACAAGTCCTCTATAGATGGACTGCGAGACCAAGACACTAAGGTTGTACAGCAGTACACCCACTTGTTATACAAGCAGCAGATAGTATTTTTTGAATACAGATGCTCATCCAGATAGTTTCTCTCTTCTATGAACTATAAATACTGGTAAATATACATCAGATTTTGTTTTCCTGTGATTACTTAGCTAAATGTCTGTTTTCTTTTTTAACCTTTCAGAAACGCCCGGTTAAATACCCCCTTCAGTTCCTAGTCTCTTCCCTGCCCCTGCAAAAATAACTGAATACCTTAAAAAGTGTACATAATATCATGCAAAGTGTAACATGTACCACGTTTTGTGACTCTGGAAAAAGTTGCAACGACTTTGATTACTTCCATTCCCACTCCTGTCATTTCATCTTCAGTATACATTACAGTGGCACGTTATTCTCGATTCTCAAAAATAAAATCGAAAATATGCTACCAAGAGTTTATCTAAATGAGATATAGCTTACAGTCATTACAAATACAACTTATTATACTATAAAAGGTAGAAGTCTTATCAGAATTCCCTTTTTGTTAAACTAAGTGCCCTTATTTGTTTGTCGTGCGGTTTAAAAGGAAAAGGAATGTATCTTTCTCAAGTGTACTGAAAGCATTTCACTTTTGTCTGTCTTCTAATAATGTAAACATTTTCATTGGTTCTTACTAACCCCGCCTACTTATTTCCATCTTATCATTATTGCCAAATATTTATTTAAAATGTTATTAATTATATTTACTGATAATTATCTACAAGTATAGTATTAGCACTTGGTTATTTCTACTTGCTAATATCTTTCTGGTTACATAAAAACGTAGCCTTAATGAAACACTTTTAATGCTTGTTATTTACTACTTATCTTGCAGTTAGTAGCAACGATGAATCTGCAGAAATTGCAGAGATACGATTTCAGTTATCAAAAAACTGGAAGACGAAAATAATTCGTCTATATCTTCTCTGTTGTAAATTGTAAAAAGGAATTTAATCAGATTAACAGTTTTCAACTACATAAGTGAATTTTTTTCGCAATACTTAAGGCAAAAATTAACAACAATAATAACAGTTTTTATATGAGAAAAATGCTTTCGTTGGTCACTTCCTTTCATCATACCTTTTATTTGTAATGACCTACTTCTGACATTTTGGTATTTGTATTTTGGTAGAAATGAAAGTGTCAAAAAAATTAAAGTTGAATTTCGTTTGATGAATAATCTCTTATGTTATTCTGAATGTGTTAATTGTACGTTCCCAGAAAAAGAAAACGATCCAGTTATTCTTGGAGCTCAACATATTCAGTTGGATTATTGCTTTTAATTTCCGATTAATTATAATTACACTGGACAGAATCTGTCGGTCTCTGTTGGTACATATATGGGCTGTTGTATGGATGCCTCGATATTTCCTGAAGATAAATTACAAAACGAATGATTCTGAGTTCAAGTTTCCGCGTGAACACCACCAATCATTAGGAAGCAGGTACATTTAGTTGATGATTTTTGAAAAGGATAAACTGTACATCTTAGATCCTACCACTGGCTACCGTCAAGTGAACAAGACTGAAACAAAACTTGTGGCAGTATTGAAACATCCAGTCAAGGAGCTTATACATTAATAGAAACCAATAAAACTGGTTTCTATTATTATTTGTCCCTTGGGTTCCTAGTGGAACATAGGACTTCAAACTAGTTTAGTGGAATAATAGTCGGCGGGTAGTGAACAGCACCAGTAAATATTAGATGATACCCGTTGCAAAACAGATGATTTTCGTTTCTCAATAAATTGATGAATGATGCTCTGATGTCTGAAGTAATGGCTGCTGGGTACATGTATCATTGGGAATACCATCGCTCCCTGGGATATAACTATTTCCATTTAATGAGTCCCAAATGGAACAAAACACGTCCTGAATTATATACAGGAATACATTTTATTTGACGATTAAATTGTGGATGACTGTTGTGGCTTGATGAAGTTTGCACCAAAAGGCAACACTAAGTTTATATATATATATATATATATATATATATATATATATATATATATATATATATATATATATATATATACCAAAGTACAAAGTGCAAGTGAAACCTTATAGAAGCATGCATCCATCAGTATTCAAGTTGGAAGAGTCGATGGAGTAAATTAAACGGAGTTGTGGTTGCATTATGACGGTTTTAATTACTGACTACCACTTCTAAGTAACTGAAATCAGAAGACATAATTCACCAGGGAGTTGAATACTACGCAAAACAATAGAATTACTTAGAATAAATGTATGGTATGCTAATAGACAGGAGTTTATCAGTTTGGAGTTGATGGAGCACTGATTGAGTATGCACATCACAACACGTTTCCTTTGATGGCCGTCACTAAAGATGATCTTCCTTGATCTCGTTGGAACCGGACCACTCACTTCCTGAAACAGTTGGTATAACTTCTTGGTAACTTAATCAGTTAAAGCTCTACTCAACATGTTGTGCTGTTTATCTAATGTTTTTGACTGCACGCTGAAGTGTCTTTTAGGATTTATGATGATAGGGACCGAACTGTTATTTCCTCAAAGTTTATCTACTCATCACTGTTAATAACTCTGTGAAACAGTCATCAATGTTCATCTTTTGACTATGTCAGTTTGTTCGAGTGGGTTTACAAACGTCTTTGACTTCCAGCTTGGTTGTAGATGTGCCTGTACAGGTGTAGACAGAAATAAGTTATTCATGCATGTATCACTTAGTTACAGGTGATCTATCTAGTAAATCTTAATAAAGTTGATCTCAGATTTGACTATAGTTTGTTTTATTAGATGCGTAATATATCTTGCTAGTTGCCAGAGCGGCTTTTATAGTCACTGCTAATATTATGGATCTCAAATTTGACTAAGTGTTGTGTTCTACGACCACCTTCATGTGCTACCTCCATTTACCAGTCAAATCCATCAAACAAGTTATGCTTACATCCAACTGCGTCTCTGACTAAGAAAAGTAATTTTTCCAAATCCTTTTAGACATGGTTGTAATGTCGAATGTTACATCTATTTGCTACAGGATAACTCTTTTTAGTTTAACAGTGGTGTATTTTCGACGTTGTTTTTAGTTCCCACCCATGGTGACAAGTACGGTCTTGAATCTGATTTATAATTGTCGGCGCTTTCCGTTGAATTTAATGTCTGAACTAGACGTTGTCTTTGTCTTTTCATGCGGCACTGATTATCTTCATTTACGAATTTGTTACAAAGTGGAAACTTTGCTTGTTGCGTGGGAACAGCTTGATAAAGTGCCATTCATGACACCGTTAAGGCCCAGAAGGTAACCTTATAACAGTGGACTTTCTTTTAGCAGCATGCCTTTTGTACGACACTGGGGAGACAATTAATGAGAAGGTGAATGATGGACAGTTCAACATGGTTGTAAAGTAATCCAGCTTCAGGGATCTCATGCGATAATAAATGCAACTAGCATACGTCAAGAAACTCCTTACTTCCAAGTTTATTTAGTTTTATGTGTTTTCAGAAAGCACTGAACATACACTTTTGATTACCAAACACTTTTGAAAGTTGTTGAACAGATTAATCAAATCCGAAATCTCTAGCGGATAAAACTAAACCATGGCAATCCTAATAAACATGCATACCTATGACTCTAAGTAACCATTTTGACCACAAAACACTAGAAAGACAGCTGGCAGTGAAAAATTTATTCAGTAAAAATAAACTAATAATGGAGTGTAACTCTTAAAAACGTGTTCCCAGGAAGTATTTTAATCTTACATCGACGTATCTATGGATAGTTTTAACAGATTTTCATACGTAGATTCATTAGTTTGACTGTACATCATCTGATTCTTGAAAATTTAGAATAATTTGACTGTTTCTTTCAACATTGGATAGTACGCTACATTTAGATGTGTGTGAATATTGGCAACAGAGTGAAAGAATTCGGAGGGGTAATTCATTGTATGAAATACATAACCTACGGAGACTAGTCCCTCATATACACATTACTTGGGGTGAATTGTGATGCTAGGTAGGACAAACCACTTAGCTATCTGTATTAGGACATCTGAACTTTGTTTTTGATTTGTTCGATAAACACTTTTTGACACTTATATCTTCTAATCCAAGTGCATGCATTTTGTTACTTGTCATTCGTCATCTATTACACTTTATTTTATTAAGCAGAGTCTGGTTGATGTGTACCACGACTCCAACGTCACCGAAAACTTCTCTACATTCAGCAGAAGCCTTATTCTCAATACATATTTTATAGATGTTAGAATTAAAGCACAAGGCTCAGTGACAAGGACACACACTGGTTAGATATGTAATACTTTGATGGATTACGGAACCTTTTAGTATTTCCTTGACAATACTGTGTAAAATAAAATATGGGGTAACCTGCTTTGTATGTCATAAACTGTTGCTTTTATTACCTACCTTTTTTCAACCTTTATATTTCACGAGAACTGAGGCTAAAATGGTTATTTCAGACAGTACAAGAGAAAATTGTAAGATATGATGAATTCAGTTAATCTCATTGCTTGTTAACAGCTTAGAATACCATAAAATTACAAAACGAATGCCAACTTGACTGTCTCAGATAGTTGTGATTTGACAGACTGGTATTATTGACACTGTATAGTGACTGAAGGTGAAATAAGCATCTAGATTGGATCTGGATTCATATCAGCCACCTCCTGTTACAATGTACTTTAAATACTTTAAACAAAAACAAATTTCAAGTTGTACAACACATGAGGAGGATGCAGAAAATACATGACAAATTGATGAGAAGAAGAAAAACATAACCAAAGCATATTAAATCATGACATAATACAAAATCCAAGAGTCACAAAGAAGAAGAGGAAATTTAAGAGATCAAGGTTCAATAGGTCATACATTATCAGATGCAATGATTCGAAAGCATTACAGTGAATAAATGGAGCACTGAATAAACTTCTAGGTTTATCTAATTATACTCAACAAATTACAACTTAAACCAGCTTTCATCTTTTACTGTAATAAGAAGTTTAAAAACTTGCTAGATGAAGAAAATTGTAAGGAAATTAACCACCAGATGTTTCGAATGATTTCCAACGCTATTTTGCTGCGAATAAAAAAGTTATTTAAATAGATCAGGTTTTTAAACTAAAGGAATGATTAATGCAGCAATTTTAACTTCAGTTTCTTTGAAAAGTTCTGAGAGAAACAGATGAAAGCCCACCTATCCATCCTTCAGATATAGTCGATTTTGTAAGT